CTGCTGGTTTTGGTAATACACTATGTTAGGATCTGTTCACTATTTTATCCAGCAGTTTCAACTTTGGAAAATGAACTACAGAGCACCTTTCTCTGTAGGTAGGATGTTCTTTTTTTCAATTTTCAAAGTGGTTTCTGTAACAATTTAGTGACCCAGAGTTAGAGTGGTTCCTGCAGATCATAACTCATAATTTCACTTTCCACCATGGTGCTTTCTCTACAGAAAACGTTTTTTATTTTGGAGCCAAATTTCTTACTCCAGACATTCTGGGAATCTACTAGACTGCTGTGACATTTAGATAATTACCATCAATAACTTGATGGAAAGCCTTTGTGTTCAGATCATGCATTGTGTTGTTTTCATATATTTTTGAACAATATCCAGGATATCTTTTTGTAATCTGGCGGACAATGACACCATCTGGCAACCTAGAGCAAACTAGTATTTATCTTTCTCCAAATGTCAGGAAGACCAGGCTGAACTTTATACTATATTTATTTTATTTAGAACTGATGGTAAACAAAAAATGTTAAATAAAATTAAATGTTAAATTTTACCTACATCTATTTTTTACTATGTTGATCGTTCTAGAACCAGTTATATCTCACATTAAAGATTGAAGGTATTTCTGCAGTTTAAAATTTTAAAGATCAAATATTTCTGTAGGGTTGTGACAATGTTTCAGAATCTCTGTAAAAACTACAAAGTACTTCTGCATGACTAATGACTAATAAAACTCTCATCAGTGCTTTATACATTAACTAGATCCTTTGCACGTGGGCGCGGTGGAGGTGCAGGGGTTGAGTACACGACCTACGTACCAAAGTCTAGTCCTCGACGTATCCGACACAAATTACAGTGGCGACCTTGTGACCTTTGCTGCATGTCTTCCCTTCTCTCTCTAATCCCATGTCCTGTCTGCAAACTTTCGAAAAATACAAAAAAATAGTCCACTAGAGCCTAAAAAAATCTTTTTTAAAAACATCTTTGTCACAAAATCTAGACCCAACCTGTGCCAAGCCTTAAAAATATAAACTCTTGTTTGTACGGTCCCCAAAAACTGAATCATTAACAATCTTGAAACTAAACGTTTTTTTCATAACACCTGTAAACGGAAACCATCGAGTCTGTATGGACTAACTTCACTGTTTAAGCAAGCAAATGGCCGCACACCGTCCTGAGCCTGTCAATTTGTTTGATCCTCCATATTAGGCAGTTTGCGAACAGCAGCCTGCTCTCCGTATGCTTTTAAACTTTGCTTCTTTTCTCAACAGAGAAACAGGTAAATAATTTCCCTCATCTCAGCCACTAACGTTCAGTCAATTAATTTATCTTCAAAAATGAATATATTAGCATTAGCTGCAACATGTGAATGGAAAAACTACCTGAGTGAAAAGCTTAGATCTCACTTTTTTATTTTAACTCTAGATAAAGTCTTTAAAGCTAATGAGTGATTAGGAATTTGAACACAAATGAAAAGCCAAGCTATTCAACTAAATTCAAATTCAAAAATACTTTATTAATCCCAAAGGGGAATTAAATATTGCAGTAACCCACAGGTGTTGTAGGTGTTTATAGCTGTAGGCAGGAAGCGTCTTTTTTAGCCGTCTCTCTCACACCGGATCTATTGTTGTCATGTTAGAATACAATAGATAAATACACAAAAATAAATCCCTCTGTTGTCTTTGCTAACATTATGTGACCTAATGTTGGTCACCTGCTTGTATAGTTTAGAAAAAAAGAAAAATGCCACAAATTAAACATCTAATAAACGTGCAAAAATATGACTGGCTTCACTTGCATTTCATATTTTATAGCTGAAATTATAAATGCAAAATACTTTGCTCATATTCAGCAAAAAGGATCTTAAAAAAAGTCTTTCAAAGCAGCCCAACAGAACCCCAATAAAGTATCAGATGTTCAGTTCTGTTAGGAGGTTTCCTACGAGCCACCACACTTTAGATTTGGGTCCTCGATTCTGTGCCACATCAGGTACATCTGAGCGGGCAGGAACCTGTGAACCAGTAGCATTTCTTTATAGTAGCATGGACTGTATTCATCTACTTTTTCAGAGGGAATGTGCAGCCCTGCTGTCTTCACTCCCATGTGTGAGGATGGGCCAAGTCCGGCTTTGGCGAGGCACATCCCCATGAAAACATCGTCAATGGGTAGAATCTCTATGGATTTGGACATTTGGTATATAATCATAGCTGTATGCCCCGACAGAAGGAAGCCTCCTCCACCACAGTATGGAGGGTATGAATTTGATTCTTGAACCTGAACTGGGATGAAATATTTGCTCCCTGATGCTCTGATGGGCCCCACATTCTGGATCAGATGGCCGGTGAAGAGATGCTGGCTCCCATTATTTTTCTCAAGGCTCTGGAGATACACAACCATGTTGTTTGTGTTGGCAAACACATCGTCGTCACCATTGAGAAGGAAGCGAGCATTCGGACAGTTTCTTTCCATCCATTCCAGGAAGAGTATCTGCTTCAAAGTGAGGTTGTAGAACGAGTCATTGAAGTCCCACTGGAGTATATCTCTGTGGTGCTTTTGCTCCAGCTGAAGGAGAGTGTTTAATCTCTCTTTCTGATAACCAGTTCCTGATACTCCAGAAATGAAAATCCTTCGAATCCACACACCGTTGTGTAACCTTTCTTTAGCCCAGGTTTTCCGCAGCACCTCTCGCCGTTCGTAGTTTGCAGGGGAACTCTTGATGACCAGCAGAAGGAAAACGGCTCCAGATTCCGCCGCTCCTCCGCATTTATCAGGGAGGTCGAGCAGCATGGGGAAATGTCGACAGTGACGATAGTAGAGAAAGTCTTTGATATTCTGAGGGAGGTCTTTGAAGCCTGTAATGTTGGCAGCAGTCACATTTCGCTGGCATTTTTGCCAGGTGTATACATAAGGTTTGCTTTTGATAGTTGTCTCTTTTAGCTTAGTACTCCCTGCTGTGTTCTTCTGGCGTTGGAAGGTTCTGTGATCCGAGTACCTGAAGAGGTGGAGAACCAACAGGAAAAGTGCTCCAACAACTAAGATAATCCTGGCCTTGGTTTTTTTCATCTTGGAAACCCTAAAGTGGAAAAAAAAAGATTATATTATAACACATGAGACTGATGAGAAAAAAGTAAATACAAAACAGACAGAAAATAAAGAATCCACATATAGAAAAGATCTGGGTCCAGATTTTAAAATGTGTAAACACTAGATTAGATAAAAAAAAATAGATGCATTATAATTTATAACAGAAAACCACAAGTTGTTCCTGATTAATGCATATTAAACAACTCAAAGGACCAAAAAAAAACCCCAAAAAATAATTAATCAGTTCAACAAAAGAATATAAAAAAAACCTTAGGATCAATATGAAAGAAATGTACTGTAAAATTAACCTTAATCATTCCTATTTGTCACCCGGGATCAAAGAATTACTAATAAACAATCGGTCCTCTCTATCAGCAATGTTTTAGTAAAGTGTTTTTTCCTTTCAAAACTAGTGGTACAGTCAGAATATATTTCATTGCATTGTGTAGCCTGTGTTTACTTCCTGGTTCCTGAGCCAATCACAAGAGGGTTTTTTTTAGCAGCGGCGGCTACTGCCTTCTGAAACACCGAAGGCTCAGTGGTGTTAATGGAATCCTAATGTAAAGTATTCCATTAACATTACTACAGCGGTAAAAAAATATCTG